TTTTTTTTGTCTGATTAGATTTTTCCAGTGTGCGGTCAATTTCAGCTACCTGTTAGTAAAAATTACTAAAATATTGTTGGGGAAAACAACCTGTAAATGTACAATTACCTGAAAAATAGGTTAAAAAAAGTTATATAAATAATAATAAAAATATATATATATAATAATAATAATTATTTGATCAAAACAATCGGTCTGTTTTCTTGATCGATTATTGCCGTCACTGTCACAGAGCACTCAAGTACTCATGCAAATCCCTATTTCATTTAAGATAAATGCAGTCCACTTGTATCTTACCTTTTATACGTGTTGAGGACCCATGTAAGAAGAGACACGATCTCATTGGCTTCCAGATCTTCAGCTGCGAGTTCCTGCACACGTGCCGACACTGATTTATGATAGAGGTCTAAGAACACCTGGAAGGTGTTGTAGTGTGGCGGGAAGCACTGCACCATCAGATTCTTCACCACGGTCAGGTCATCCAGGATGTACTTCCTAGTGATCTCCAGCAACCTCACCAGCCACATCTTGTCAGACTCACGTGTTTCTGACTGCGTGCCCTCGATGCGAGCGCTCACGGTGCCCTCTAGGACTTCGTTCATTCGATTTTTCCAGCATTTGGGCCTCCCGGGTGGGATGAACCCGGTCTGCTTCTTACGGTCCAGCATCCTGCGGTCGATCTTCTCTTCACGCTCGATGATTCGGACCACAGACACCAGCATGGTGGGGTCGCGGCGGACGGTGACCATGGCGCGTTGGAGGACCATCCAGAGTTGTTTGGAGAGCTCCTCCGACAGGCCCTGCACCTGGCCGAAGTAGCCACGAATGAGGTTCATGTCATGGACGTTCTTGCTGTCCATGCGGTACTGCTCGTACATGAGGTCGTCGCGGGAGCACTCCAGGTCCATTAGCTTGCGGTGAGCTTGAAGCAGTTCACCCTGCTCGATCAGATCATGGGTCTCTCGTACGATCTCAGGTACTGTAGAGGAGGGAGCAAAATGTGGGTGCAGTGTCAACAAATGCAAATCATACCAATATAGCACCTAGCATCAATTATAAGACAAAACATTTATTATTTTCCACAACACAAGGTGCAATCAACTGAAAAATTGCTCATAAATATTTAAAAAGAAATACCTAGTAAATAAATAAATACATACATACATACATACAAGTAAAAAATACTAAAATATTGTTGAGAGAAAAACAATCCGTGAATGTGCACCAAAAAAGTACATAACTCAATATAAAAATGTGTTTAAATAAACCAACCTGTAAATGTACAATTGTCATAAAAATAGCTAATAAACAGTTAAATAAATAAATGTGTTTAAAATTTGGAGAAAACCAACATTTAAATGTGCAATAAACTGACAAATAACTAAAACATATTTTATCAAATTAACTAACTAAATGAATAAATACATATGTAGTAAAAATGACTGAAATACTATTCAGGACAAACAACCTGTAAATTTTCCATCATCTGAAAAATAGCTAATGAATATATATGTCTGAAAAATTTACTTACTAAATACACACATATTTACATACATAAATTGTGGGAAAAAA